TTCTATCCCTCTAGTCGGTAAAAGGAGGACCCAGACTGTTGGGGGGCAATATGCTGATTCTAAACTGCCCAGACAATGCTGGAAAGCACTTTGGAGTTTTATATAAGTCTAAGTGCTATTGCTATCCCAGCATTCTGGAATATGCATTATAAGGACACATTTGTAGCCACAAAAGGTTTCATTTTTACAAGCTGTGAGGTTTTACATATAACAGTAAATTATGTTTGCTGTGTGTGCCTGAACAAAGGAGCTTGAAGAAAATGAACGGCTAAGTTGCTCCATTTTACCAAAACATTCAATTTCATTTTAGTAAATTCTTAGATTATATTTATTTATGTGCAAATAATGAATGGCAATGTAAAGGAACCTCACTTTCTGAAGAAATTGCTAATACATGCATACAGTTCAGACATTTATGGGTATTAGACAATCCAGAAAGAAAAAGCTGGCTATAAACCATGAACTATAATTTAGCACTTTATCTGTATGTAATCAATGCCATTTTTTCATAATATTTTCATAGAGAAAGACCCTCCCTGAAAAAGTAAATCCTAAAATAAAATGTCTCGTTTCCAAGAACTTTTAAAACAAAAATAGAGTTGCTGGACAGTGAGATGGTGGTAGACCTATTGTATAATAAATAAAAATGAAAAACAAATAGCCACTGCCCAAATCCTGCTAGTCCCTTCCCTGGATCTTTATTTGGGAATTTTGAAAAAGAAGAAAAAGGCAAGCACCAAGAAAGAGAAAGAGCACTTAGACTTATATACTACTTCACAGTGCTTTACAGCCCTCTCTAAGCGGTTTACAGAGTCAGCATATTGCCCCCAACAATCTGAGTCCGCATTTTACCCACCTTGGAAGGCTGAGTCAACCTTGAGCCTGGTGAGATTCGAACTGCCAAATTGCAGGCAGGCAGCAGACGTATCATGCAATACTGCACCTTAACCACTGTGCCACCACGGCTCATTGTTGTATTGAAAGTTGCATTGTGTAACACATCTGGACTAACATTGTTTCAAAACGAATTTTATATTGGAATATTTTAAGGTAGGGCATGCAAGTTTTCATCAAGATTATAAATGCAAAATGCAATCATCAGTCTTTGAATTGGTTCTAAATCAACGGAAAGAAAAGATTTGGAGGCACAGTATAGTGGTTATAATGCTGGGATAAAAATCGGGAGACTGGCTTCTTATCCTCCTTTAAGCATGAAAGTGTCTGAGTAATTCTCCTGCAGATCACTCCATCTCACAGGGTTGTGGAGAAAACAGAAGGCAGGAGTATGTTATTTCAACTTGTATTGACCAAAAATACAAAGGGATAAATACCTAATAAATTATCAAGCCTGTTTAAACAGACTCACTTAAAAACTGGTTTAACCTGTAACTCACATTCTTGTTCTATAGAAAGACATGTCAATTCCAAATTATTGTAGGGGTTTTTTTCTTATTCATTTCTTTACTTTAGCTCTTTGCATTGTTTCACTATTTAGTTTAGTTCATTTTATTTGAATGGTACTTGCAGGGTTAGTTTTTCTGTTTTTATTCTTCAAGAAAATAAAAATGTTAACAAGGTTATAAATAATTAAGGATATAAGAGTACAAACAAATAATAGATTGCTGCTTATACAGCCCTAATAAATGTCACCCCACAACTCCCCACCCAAGAAGTTCTCACTCTCCAAACTTATGTAGTGAATAATATTGGAAACAGGAGTTTATGCATCTTTTTATTATCATCTAAAGTGGACCTGTCTGAAAAACAAAATTGAAACAGATCAACCAAACTCCAAATGGAGCAGAGGTGGTATTCAGCAGGTTCTGACCAGTTCTGGGGAACCAGTAGTGGAAATTTTGAATAGTTCAGAGAATCGGTAAATACCACCTCTGACTGGCCCCATCTATTTTCTGCCTCCCAGCTGATCAGGAGTCCCAGCTAATAGGGAGGAAATGGAAATTTTGCAGTAACCTTCCGTGCCACACCCACCAAGCCACACCCACAGAACAATAGTAAAAACATTTGAATCCCACCACTGAAATGAAGGTACAAATGAATACCAGTATGATAGCACATCATCTCACCATCAGTCAAAGCAGTATTCAAATGTAGGCATTGAATAAAAATAAACAATCCTTATCCCTAGGGCTGGGGTCAGAAATCTGTGGCTCTGGAGCCACATGTGGTTCTTTCATCCCTGTCGCCAGTTGGCAGCAAAATTGATAGGGCTTTCGGTTAGGACAGGTAGAGGAAAAAGGACACCACGCTAGGAGACTCTATGGTGGGGGAACTGGACTTCCGGTTGGGAAAGGAAAAAGGATGCCACACTAGGAGGAGACTCTGGTGGGGGAACCAGACTTCTGGTCGGCTCCAGAATTGAATGGACTTCTGGTTTGGACCTTTGTGGCTCTTTGAGTGTTTAAGATTGCCAACCCCTGCCCTAGGAGAAAGGAAGTTGTAAACACCTGCTTTGAATCTTATTTCATCCCAGATGAGCCAGTTACAAGCATGGCAATAACCAAGCTGTGATATACTGTATGCAGTTCAGCATATTGCCACATGGGGTTGCCATATTACAGACCCAACATCAAATAAAATCTTACCTTAAATTGCTCTAAATGTAAAGTTTGGTTATTTGGATTGGAGAAACCCAGATGATCATTAATTGGCAGAAAAGAGATAAACCACCTGGTTGCCATCTGATATCTGGATGTTTGCTGCCTGGATCTAAGTAGTCCTATATTTGCAGATATTTAACTAGCAATAGCACTTAGACCTGTGATGGTGAACCTATGGCATGCGTGCCTCAGGGGGGCACGCAGAGCCCTCTGCGGGTATGCCATCCATCAACCCAGCCCAGCTCTACTGTGCATGCGTATCTGCCTTCCGCTGGCCAGCTGGTCTTTGGATCTCTGCTGTACATGCACGGGGGGCATGGCACATGCACGGGGGCGGGGATCTCACATTGCAATTTGGGGCCTCATGCAGTGCTCCTCTGCCCCATTGGCTTCAGGTTGTGCAGGAGGCCTTCCAGGCCCAAAATAGAGCATGGAGGGGGGCACATTGCATTTTTTGCATTCAATGACAAAAAGGTTAGCCATCACTGACTTAGACTTATATACCGTATTTAGTGCTTTACAGCCCCTTCTAAGGGGTTTACAGAGTCATCCTATTGCCCCCAACAATCTGGGTCCTGGTTTTAACCAACCTCAGAAGAATGGAAGGCTGAGTCAACCTTTAGCCTCGTGAGATTCGAACTGGTAATCGGCAGTCAGCAGAAGTAGCCTGCAGTGCGCATCCTAACCACTGTGCCACCATGGCTGTTACACTGGTAGTACAAACTAGTACATTGCTTCAATGAGCAAAATGCTAGGAATTGCTAGAGGAGTTTNGCCTGCAGTGCTGCATTTAACCACTGCGCCACCTCGGCTTTTTATTCCATAACAAGCTAGATGCTTACTGTAACAAATTTAGAGGGCTACTATCACAGTTATCCATTTCTTTATACAACAATATTAAAAGCTCTCTAGATCTAAAAGCTCTCTATAGTTGTGGGATGTCACCTTAAAAAAGATGAATTCTAGAGCGCCTGGTTGAGGCACATTACAAATCAATTGCCTTTAATGAATAATTTTTGTGAAGTACCGTAATCTACAGAAATCAACCCAAATTCTGCTCCAATTGTTCTTTAATAGATTTTGTATAGCCTACTGAATGCTATTTACACTATTGTCTGAACATTACAGTTGCTGAAATTGCCCGTTCTATCACAGTGATCCCAAAGAAAGCTACTTTACCATCCAATTATTCTGCAATTACCTAGATTATCACATCATTGTCTTTATAGAGAATCTGGTTAAGTCTCACATAACCTCTGATTTTAGAGAATGCTGATGAAGAATGCCAATACAGTTTTCTGGATTTATTTATTTTTTGCCCCATCAGTTTTGGAGATTTAAGTCTTCAAGGCTTACATGAGAAAACCTGCTTTTTAAAGGCTAGTGTTTCAGCAAGCTAATAAAAATGTAGGGTTCTTTTTCCTTCTCAGGAAAGAAAAAAGCATGGTAGGACAAATGACCAAATAGATCTAAATCTAAATTGTCTAGAGTAGGGCGTTGAGTTGTGGGTTGGACTAGAAGGTCACAATCAATCAGAATAGAGCTGGAAGAGACCTGGGAGTTCTTCTTGTCCAATTCCCTGCTCAAGTAGGAGACCCTATACAATTTAGATAAGTGACTGTCCAGTCTCTTCTTTAAGAGCCTCCAGTGGTGAAGCACCCACAACTTCTGAAGGCAAACTGTTCCATTGGCTGATTGTCCTCACTGTTAGGAAGTTTCTCTTTAATTCCATTAATTCTCTGTGACCACAGTTGGAAACCAAACTCTGGAACTGATAAACATTGGGCCAAAGATTTTCTGAAATTAAAGTCTGAGATATTTCACTTTTTTAGGCTTAGGACAACAGTTCACCTTTAGTGGCCCACAGGAGTCCATCTTCTAAAAAGTATATATTTCAGATAGCATAAATTAAATCTTTCTGGCAAAATTATTGCATGTGTATTTAACACATCCGCTTTTCTCACATGTATTCAATACGTGCTTTGTACCATCAGTACAGGCTTCATGCTAAAGAAAATACTTTGAAACTTGGAGAAGTTGAGCATTTTCCCCATGGCTTTACAATTTAACAATGTATGAAAGGATCCACCTCTCATAAGTAGAGGGTTAAACATTTGCTGTGACCTTATCTGTTGCGTCAAATGCCAGAAATGAAAAATCCAAATATTTGTTGCAGGAAGGATCCTCATTTGGCTATTCCAAAATGCAGATTGCTAACTATTCAATCAAACATTGTTTTGTTCAGTTGTACCTTTTCTTTTCAGCTTATTACCCATATAATTCATTTTGTAGCTATCATTTAATGTTGGGACCTGGTTTTCTCCTCCTAATTAAAAAATGTAGTAGCCTAAATAATATAAAATTTTCTAGACATGCATAAGACTATTCCTGGAATACATTGCAGTGTTTATGATTATTACTCACCTCATCAAGGTCACACCTGTTGATAATATGCATCCGAATTATATCACCTAATGACCTTAAAAGGAAAGAAAGAAAAAGAAAACAAACTACATCAATAAAATAACACAGACATTATTTTATTTTCAAGGCACTTAAAAAATACAAACTGTTGGATCTTCAGAGTCACCTAAGAATCTCCATGTTATTGTTATCCAAAGATAAAACTGTCCCCATGAAAAACAAGATCAAAGATCATTTACAGTGATATGTCTAAAGGAAGATAATTTAATTTTAATTCAATGGATTTACACCAAAATAAATGTGCATTGATTTAACAACCCACTCATATTTGCCTTATTGACAAGCCTCATTGAATAAGCCATGTATTTCGACGCAATATATCTAATATTTGCTGAACATCATCCACCAACACATCATCTATATAAAGTACATATACAATCATGTTTCAGGCAATCACATTTTAATTCAAGCATTCTATATATGAATGCATAACATGAAACAGCATTCAAACAATTATCAATGTTGTGTTTGAGCTATTAGTTTCTTTAGCATTTGGCCTTAAAATTAAAAATGTGTAGCATTGGAAGGAATTTAAATTTCCCGAAACAGCCCTATTTGTTTTGCTCAACTAAGCACAAGAATCCAAATGTTGATGATCTATTTAGTTTGCACCATGGAATAACCATTTTTGTGATAACTGGAACAACCTTCCCCGACCTTGTGTTCTTCCAATTATTGTCAGTATTCTTTCCAAACCTTTGATGTTGCAGTTGAAAAAGTTCCAGAAAATAGTAAATGTGATTGCGATGATTTAAAAAATATGATGTACTCCATTGTTAGGAGAAGAATCAAAAGGGGTCTATATCAAAAGCATTTTCACAATGCAGAACAATCTTTAGCCTAATGAAGCTACTGTCCTACCATATGCTACAAAGGATGATGGGAGATAAAAAAATTTCTTTTAAGCTATATTGGCAAGCAAGGTTCATTTCCAATGTCACCTACATCATGGAATGTCATCATCCATTTTTAAGATAATTTAATTAGAGGTAACATTACTCTTGTGGGTTTTGCTTATGTTCTGTGATATAAGCAGAGGCTGTATTCAGCCAGTTCTCACAGGTTCTGGAGAAACGGTAGCAGAAATTTTGAGTAGTTCGGAGAACCAGCAAATAGGCTGGCCCAGCCCCTGCTGCCTCCCAGCTGATCTTCTATTGTTGCCCTGAACAGGAGAACTGAGCTGGAAAGCAGGTTAGTGTGGTGGGGAGGGAATGGGGATTTTGTAGTAACCTTCCCCCAGGAGTGGCAAGGTAATGGGGATTTTGCAGTATCCTTCCCATGCCACGTCCACAAAGACATGCCACACCCACAAAGCCACACCCACAGAACCGATAGTAAAAAAAAATGAATCCTACCACTGGATATAAGTACCTCCATACAGAAAATGGGGATATGTACTAAACAACTAAATTTATCATCAATAGCTATATTTTTAATGGAATAGATTTTACTTTGCCTCATGCTTAAGTTACTAAAGTTACTGCAGTAATATTGGCTACCCTGATACTAATACAATGCTACTTTAGATATCTTCAGTCAAATGAGTTCTTTAAGTATGTAATAAAACAACTTAAAACTTTGAAACACATTCCACTGTTTGCATTTTCCATCTTATTTTTAATCACATGTACATGTGTTGGAATTGATGCAAGAAGTAATTGATGCATCAAACATATATGGTATTGTCCAGCTTTATGTGTACAACTTTCATGGCATCTTGGTTTAGCCTTGTAAAGAATCATCATCATTCAAGGAAAGAGGGGTGGGAAAAAATTGGCTTTCCCTACTGGGGTGCTGATTACCAGAAAGCTAAGTGGATTCTTATTCTTTGAATAAGATAAATTGAACTGATACATGAAGTTAGTTGGATTGTAAGGAGCAAGGGAACCATTGCAGAGCTATGAATTTAAACTGCAAATTGCCACTATTGCTCTTTTGTTAGAGCACAGGCATCTTACAAAGGAGCAATTAAAGCATTCAGCATCTTGAAGAAGCAGACAAGCATTTGAATTTGCTGACAGAAAGTTTGAAGTAAGAATTGTATTATTGCTGTTAGGACGAAGATACAACAGTGCTTTGTTAGAATTTGTTTAGATTGTCCTACATTTACTATTGGATCATTTTACATATTGCAATTTTAATTAAAGAAAGGTATCTATTGAAATCTTTACCAGTTTTTTCCAATTTTGACCCAACACAGGTGGAGGTTAGGCCAACATGAAGAAAATATTTCATCTTAGGAGGACATGTTTTACATGCTATGTACAGAAATAAATTATTTAAAAAAATATATGACTCACTTCTTCCAGTAATAACTTCTAAGCAAAATATAATTTGTAACTTCTTGAAGCAACTGCAGGTACTTCAACTCTTCATTTCTTAAAAAGAGAAACAAAAAAAGAATATCTGTGGAAAAGCAACTCTCGTGTTTTAATAATCTTTTTTCTTCCTACAACTTACTTACATTAAAAATGGCAAATATTGTTGAAATGAGCTACCTGAAAGTCGGTCTAATCATAAGGACATGATGTCAGTTTTGTCAACTTTACGGCCCTCCAGGTGACTTCAGCTTCCAGAATTTCAACAATCATGCTGGTTAGGAATTCTGGGAGTTGTAGTCCACCTATCCACTGTCCATGGTAGGGAAATAGCAAAACTTGTGTCATGATGTCATTACACAAATCCTGCAACATATGTTCCTGTGTCAGACAGCAGGATGCAAATACAAAATAATGAAGTTTGGGTCACAGCATCAACATATGGAGCCATCTCATCTGTCATTCTACTCAAGAGGTCTATTCACATGTCTGGAGATTGCCAAGGATGCTATAAATTCATAGCTGCATTCACACTGTGTTAAATGAAGGATTTTTGGGTCATAGTTGCATTATGTATAAATATCACTAAACTATAGATTTGCAGCTGTAGCCCTTGAAGACTGAATGCTGCTGAGGGTAGGTCACTCTTCATTCACCCCAAGTATTGACAAAGTGTGTGGGAGAATACACAGCTCTGTCTTCTCCATCTGCCCTTGTCAAAGCCCAAGAAGGCATCTACCTAGATGCAGTGTCAAGATCAATGCTTTTCTGGCTTTGGCAAAGACTTTCTTATACCTCCTGCAGTGTTTTTTAAAAAAATCACAATGAACAAAAGAGTTCCACATCATTATGAGATGTAAACATACAAAAGGCTGTTCAATAAGCCCTAAAATAAGCTTAACATTTTGTTAAAAATGATGGGCAATAAGTAAAACTATCTCTCGAGTCAGTTTAAAAAGGATCACCCAATCTGGTGTTATTATGTTCTAAGTCCTCCCCAGAGCCAAGTGCAACATCTGGCCATCAAAAGGTTACCCAAACTATTGTCAGAAATCCATTAGGTAAAGGTAAAGTTTTCCCTCGCACATATGTGCTAGTCACTCTAGGGGGCGATATAGCAATAGCAGTAGACTTATATACCACTTCATAGGCCTTTCAGGCCTCTCTAAGCGGTTTACAGAGAGTCAGCATATTGCCCCCAACAATCTGGGTCCTCATTTTACCCACCTCGGAAGGATGGAAGGCTGAGTCAACCCTGAGCCGGTGAGATTTGAACCGCTGAGCTGCTGATCTAGCAGTAGCCTGCAGTGCTGCATTTAACCACTGCGCCACCTTGGCGATGCTCATCTTTGTTTCAAAGCTGAAGAGCCAGTGCTGTCCAAAGACATCTCCGTAGTCATGTGGCCGGCATGACTGAATGCCGAAGGCGCATGTAACGTTGTTACCTTCCCACCAAAGGTGGTTCCTATTTTTCTACTTGCATTTAACATGCTTTTGAACTGCTAGGTTGGCAGAAGCTGGGACAAATAACAGGAGCTCACTCTGTTACGTGGCACTAGATATTCAAACTACTGACCTTTCTGATCAACAAGCTCAGCGTCTTAGTCACTGAGCCACCACATCCCTATTAGGGCAAAACCTAACAACTTGCATTAGGGCACAGTGTGATAGTGAACTAGCACTGATCCCAAATGTGGTTTAAAAAGACTTTTAAGTTCATCGTTTTGACTACAGTTCTCCAGAAATTTAAAATAACTTTCCCAACCATACTAGAACTAGGAAAGAAAATGGCACCTTCTGTAAGCAAAGGGTGCACTGCTCTCTAACCACCACCCTGCAGAATAAGCATGGCAAAATCTATTCTGAGGGCTGCAAAAGAGAGATGGGTAATCTGCATGGAATGCCTTCCTGATTTTTTTTGCATCCCTGACGTTGTCTTTGCATATCATCTGCTCTCATTTTTGAGATGGCAATATTAGCACAGATAGATCATTTATCCTGCTTCCAGACTCAGAAGCATCAGGTTGTCCATAGGAGAAGCCAGATACATAGGCCTTTGCCTGGGTCATTCAGAACCCTTGTTAGGTTCTTACAAAGGAATGGTCTCTACATTTTAGGTTTCTTGAAACAGCCACAATTTTAATCTTTTGCTGCACAGGGAACAGTGTTCTTATTCAAAATAAATGCAGAACTCACTTTTCACGAAGAAGTGCTTGAATAGTAGTTGAGTTCCCGGAATGTTTCTATAATTTTTAAACACAAAGAAAAAGGCATAAGCAATTGCTTTATCTCATCCATTGCTTTACATTGAGGCTGTGCAAATCATTGAATAGATATTTGCTTTGGCAAACATTTGTTGCAAAACAGCCATGTTGCTTCACTTTGCATTGCAAAGTTTTAATGAATGCTGCAGAGGACAGGTCACTCCTCATTCACTCCAATGTTGACAAAGTGTGCGAGAGAATACATAGCTTTATCTTCTCCAGCTGCCCTTGTCAAAGCCCAAGGAGGCATCTGCCTGGATGCAGTGTCAGGATCAGTGCTCTTCTGGCTTCAGCAAAGTACATGTACGAAATAACAATAAGCTTCAAGGCAATGCGAAATCCTTCATGGCAATGCGAAATCCTAGGTAGCTTCACAATAGTTAGCTTCACAGTAATTACATTTTGAGCATGTGTGCTACACTGACTATTATTTGCTTTTCGGGAGGGGGGAGAAATCCCCAGCTTGAACGGGCAAGATCATAAGACACAAACTGTCTCTCTGGAAAGGCCTTAATTGATAAAAGATAAATACTTGCTCATTTTCAGACGCAGGACAACAAAATCAGCTCTTAAAATATAGAATGTACAATATACATTGCATATCATTTATCTGTATCTGCATGTATTCCTTCTGTACACCAACAATGATTCAAATCCAGTTTGGATTTCTGCATAGATCCTGCATGTTTTTACACTCCCTGTGTTTGACAGGATATACGTAATTAGGGACATTTCCACACCACCATTTTTATCCCTCTGTCTGACACAACATTGATCTGAAATCAATTTCATTGCTGCTGATCCTCAAATTTACACACACACACACACACATGATCAGCACCTCTGCTGGTGATTTTGGAGTTTCTCTAGAAATATGAATGGTTGGTGTTAGAAGGAGAATCTGCAAAGCTACTAAACCTTTGCTCCCTTTAAATACCGGTGAAAAAACAGTGATTCCCCAAGATGCCATCATGTTTGAATCTTTGCAGGAAGCTGAAAGATGCAATGATGAAAGAATTCTGCCAACAGGAAACTAACAATGGGAAACAAGCTCCCACAATACAGCAATTTGCCTTCCAGTCACAGAACCCATATTCCCATAAGGGACATATGTTCTTGGTCACATATATATGGAGTCAAAAAACCCACCTCCTTCCTCTGATGAACAAAAAAACCCTGCCCCATGCTTGGTGCTCTCTGATCTTGTTTGCTTGCAAACATACTGTATCATTACCCAACTAGGTAACATCATCAGGGAGAGTAAATATGGGGTTTTACTTTTTGTTTATATCCAATAGCTTGTCCGGACAATTTTGATGAGAGTGTGGATTGTTCCTTGGTAGTGCCTTAATTACAGCATTGTTTTCTCCTTTATTGTTTGCCTAGCACTAATCCCTGCTTATCTGGATGTTGGCTGCTGCACTGAAGGAAATATTCTTTTGAATACATCCTACTGTATGTCACAAATAGCTGATTATTTACCAGATTGGTCCAAAGGCTTCACACTCTCAGATGTGAATGCCATATCAAATTAAAGACAAATAGAGATTTCTTGTGAGCACATGGAAATTCTGCTGTCCAACACAAACATCATAAAAGCATGGTTCTTTCAGGAGGCCCCTGGTCAAAAAGAACCCACTAATATGCTGCATTCTTTGTTCCCTGGATTGTTGTTTTCGGGTTTTTTAAACTGTTATATTGTGTTCTTCACTTGTTCTGTGTGCTGCCTTGAATTGCTTAACACTACAAAGCACATATACACATACACAGAGAGAAAGATTCTGACCATTTTTTGTTTTGTTTTAAGCTATCGGGCTAGGCCACAAAACCAACTAATCCAGCTGTACTTACTGAAAAATTGATAGAACAAAATATTTTGCAATATCAGAATGAAGTACGGTATATATTGTACAATCAATACCTTTTGCTTAAAAAAAAAACAATTATGAAAAATGCCAATAATGGGGTAGATCCCTGATAGCTGTTTCTAATTCAGGATGATACCTATAAATACCTTGGGTGATGAAGATTTAAAATCTCAAGATCCTAATCATTTTTTTCAGTGATATTACAAAACTCTCTGGCTTCTTAAAAGAGGCAGTAGGTATAAACTGTCTCTTGCTGTGGCTTCTGCTAAAAGAACCTCCTAACCACCATCTGGTACTTGGCTGATGTTTTGCAACGACATGATACAACCAATGTTAATATATAGTGGGAAGAGACAGAATAATTATTGTGCTAAATGTTACATGAATACACATTTGATACTAAATACTCCAATGAAGTTCTTGTATTATCGCTTTCCAAACTACTAGCAAACTGTTCTCTTTTTCTGATGTTTATGTGTGGTAATGACCAAAAAGCAAATGAAAAAGGGAAATGTTAATTTCAGACTTGTGCTCCCTTGTTCCTTTAAAGCAACTCTGCACATCTGCTCTTAGACTACAATTACAGATACTGTCTGCAAATTATGGAAGTTTTAATTCTGCATGTCTTTGGGAAAATCTGTTTCAAAGGAAAGCAGCTTTTTTCTGAAAAAGAAAATAACAGTGTGTTTCTCCCACATAATTTCTGACTACATTAGTGAACACCTGATTTATGTTTTTACATTTTCTTTTAGGAGAGAGAATTCTGCATTGGATTGAGTTATGACTTTTATATGTTTCTAAACATTGTTTTCAAAGCAGCTCTCTAATTTTATGTCTACCATCACGAAACACCACTGCCATTATCCACTCTGAAATACCATATTTTCCAAAGAAGTACAGTTTTAAATTGCTTTCATAACTAGTTTTACTTAGAAGAATCAAATAGCATTGTTCACAACACAATCTAATTCGTGTCTTCTCAGAAATTAGACTCCCTGAATCGAATGAGACTTCTTTTCCAAGTGCATGTGAGTAGAGAATTCAAACTTCATTATGGATAAATAAAAAACTGAGCAATGCCCAATACGTTTTAATACTAATGTTGATATTTATGAATGTTACTGCCTGGGTAATTTAATCCATTACTGAACAATAAGAAACCTTGAGTGGATGGCATGGAGGGTTTTCCGTATAAGCTCTTAGCCGCTCATTATCCATAGACCTGGAAGATGAAAAAAATAAAACAAAATATATCAGCAACAATGACAGCAGTTTAAAATTTACTTGTCTGAAGCTAAGATTGGTTCAGCTTCAGAGGTGGTATTCAGCAGGTTCTGACCAGTTCTGGAGAACCGGTAATGGAAATTTTGAGTAGTTTGGAGAACCGGTAAATACCATCTCTGACTGGCTCCACCCCCATCTATTCTCTGCCTTCTGAGTCCCAGCTGATCAGGAGGAAATGGGGATTTTACAGTATTCTTCTCCTATCATGCCCACCAAGCCACACCCACAAAGAAAATTTGAATCCCACCACAATTCAGCTTCACCAACTATTGGTAGACCTGTTGATAATAAGCTGACAAACCCTTTACCTGTAAACATTTCTTGAGCTTTTGTGTGATTTTGTATGAAGAGAAAGGCTCTTCTTCCTGCATGGGTGGTTGTAATATCTATAGTTTGAAAGAAATGATTTACTTGCTGTTTTTAAGAGCTTTGGGGTAAAAGGCTGCTTTGTTTCCGTAAACCAATCAGCATGTGTGTCCAGTAGATCTCCACTAGTAGATGTCTTCTTAGGCCTCTGACGCAATTTCCCAGGAGACAGGGAAAGAGATAATGCACATGGCTGGAGTGAATTTTTGTATGTACGAGATAAGAGTGAACCTTGAATATCTTCTGCTTTCAAAATTGTGGGCTGGAGACTTGCATACATTTTCTTGGATCGCTGGGAAGGCTTCTGCTCCTCTTTTCTCAAAGGAGATGATCTTGGTCTTGGAACCAAATCCAGATGATTTGATAACTGCTGAGAATTTAGGAAAAATGGATAGAACATTTTAAAAATGTAACATTCTATCTGCACTCTAGGGTTATATGCCTGAAATGGCAATAAAGGAGAACAAATATAGCAGATTCAATTGTTAAAAAACATAGGTGGGAAATCAAATTCTATCATTCCACACTCCAGGAAGAAATTGCTGTTTAGAAGTTTTCCCATGTTTAAAATCAAATGTCTCCAATAAAAATGGCAACATAGCAGAGTAAAAGTTTAGCTGCACTACTTTATCACGGCAGATTTTTTTTAAAAAAAGGAAAGATACAGTCTACTTGCAGAAGAAAAATATCAAGCATATAAAACTTTTGTGTAAGCACAGGCTTTCTAAAATGCTCCTTGGCCTCCTCATTCCACCTTCATTCAATTATGGGTCAAGAATTGGTGATAGGTAAATTGTACTTTATAAAAGGATATGATTTAAAATCCGCAGAAAGTTATCTTTAGGCTGGAACTGACATTATTAAAGAGGCTTCCGTTTTCCATGGACAGGTCTTGCAAAAATATAGATGGGAAATCAAATTCTATCATTTCACACCTAATGAGGAAGGTGGATAGAATTATGAAAATATGAGTAGGAAGAAACACTTTCATTGGTTCCTCATCCTACTGATATTCATAATAATTTTACTTCACAGGATCATCTCAAATCACATGGCTCATTTTGCTGAAGGGGTGATAAAATAGAGTTGGAAAAGATAAATGAAATTTAACATTGACCACAATCCCTAATTAATTAATTAATATGATTAACTAATTAGGGATTGTGGTCAATGTTAAATTTAATCTCAGATTAAATTTACATTTAATAATGTAATTTAATCTGAGCAAAATCAAATCAAATGAAATAAACTAAAACCACAGAGAGTTTGAAAATACATTATTCTTACTGCTGCTGAACTAGCGTCTAATAAAAGTGTTCAATACCTTAGGAAAATAAGTTTTTTTATACAGACAATTACAGTATTAAGCTTTCCCTAACTTAGTGTTTCATTCATTCTCTGAACGAAATGGTTTTCATGCACTCAACAGACACTGCAATACAGTCCCTTGGAAGAGGCATTCACTTCCTATCCATTGCCTGCATGGCATATCATCTTACATTGTGATTCTTAGCGGAAACACCTCTAGAATGACATGATGGTGTAGAATGGATCAATGCTACTTCTTTCTTGAATTTTTCAACAGCTTTCATGAGTTTCTCTCTTTTCTGTTGGTCTCTGTCTGTAATATGAAAGTTTTGACACAAAAAGTTATCATCTTTCCTTATCATCTTCTAATAAAAGAGACTATCTGTAGCTCAGGGTTGAATTGTAGAGTCTTCGATGCTCACCAAGCTTGGGTGCTTGCTTGCAGATCCTTCTTTACTTAGCAAGATTGCCTACTGCTCAGCATTTTCTTTAGCGTGGTGTAGCTACACATTTAAATCAAGCTTGTCCAACCACTTGACTTGCCTCAGCCACACCGAGTGAACAGGAATTGTCTTGGGCCATGTATAAAATATATAATTTAATAAATAACAAGCTTCATACATATTAATTATGATCTTGTGGAGCTGCATTACTAGTTGTCAAGGACTACATGCCTGATTTAAAAGGTTTGGGAGAAAAAGCTAAATCAATACTTTTTAATGTCTTATTTTTTCCCTCAAAAAAAATTCAACCCCTCAGCAAATTTTAATAACAGGTAAGATGTTATTATTAACAATATTGAGCCAAAAAAAATTCTGTATAACTTTTGTTTTTGATTGATATTTGAGGACATTACCATTTTAAATATATATATATATATATATATATATAT